ACCTTCTACTTTCTGCTACTACTTGTTTTCCATCAGACGTAAAAGCTTAGTTTGATAAATTCTAGCTCTTCAAAACTTGGCACTTTTTATCTCCGCTGATTTAGTCTTCCGATAGCTAAATTTTGTAGTCTTCTAGGAAAATTATGTGCTTACCGTGCGGTAAAATGTGACTTCCATCCTGCTAAATTTAGAGCCCTTCTACCACTTTTGGAGTTAAACAAATTCCCCTAACGATTCTGATGACTGCTACGTACAACAGAAGAGCGCACAAACCGATAATTTTGTAGCCATCTTCGCTGCATTTCATTAGGAAGAACGCTGATCGAACTAAATCACCGATGTGATATTGCTTGTCGTTCACATTACATGCCGTTTCTTCAACAAAAAATTTAGAGAAATTCAGCGAAATTCAAAAAATGGAATATAATGTCCGAAATTCATATATGAGTGCAGGATTACAGAAAAGTGCTTTGCACTTCCGGACTAATTTTAATGACTTAACGATCAATTTTGTTCTTTAGTTATCATTTAACTCAAATTTTTATTTTCTTCTGTTCACAGAAACACTTTGGACAGCTGTGTTTAGGTAACCTATCGAAAAGCGATGTTACAGTGTTTCTGCTTAAATTTATTTAGTCGTACTGCTGGCTGGCTATAGAATAATGAGTGTAAAACCGCTTTAACTGGGCCAGTACATTTTTTCTAGCTTTTTATGCGTTTTTTGCAGCTATGCTATGCAGAAAACGCATATTGACGAGAGGTTGTCTATGTGTGTGCGCGCGCTGTGCGTCTGTACCGATTTTTCATCTCAAGATCCACAGAAGCTACAGGACTGAAACTTTGGAAGCTTAATTTACACGCTTGTACGGGCCTCCATCCCCAAAAATGGGCGGTCTTACCCACATGGTACCTACGTACGGGCCCGTGAAAGTTTTTTGCGGATTGGTCGCTAATTCGAAAGCCTGAGAAGTTAGAAAGCTGAGAACGTAAGGGGATGTTCCAAGCCCAAGTGGGTATTAATGAGCTTAATTCCAACTCTCGCCTATGCATGGGTACCCACGTAGGGGCCAGCCAAAATTTTCTTCAAGTAAGTCGCTAACTCGACAAATTGAAAAGCTAGAAGACTGTAATTTTGAGGGGGTGCTTCCTGACAGTTCTGGCGACTAGTCTTAATTTGTTTAGCTGGAAGAATTTGCTGGAAAAAACGGTGCCGGTAGCAACAAAAACTGCGGGGAACTGTACAAAAAACGTATCTTCGCGCGGGCAGCCCGTGCGTTGGTCAATTATTTTTATTTTTTCGTCTTCATTAAATTCTATTTTAATGAATTCGCTGTGCTTCTCCGAAGTTATCTTTAGCTACATTGCCAACACTTGCTTAAAAATTATTGAGTCAAAGAAATTAATTAGACACGGAAATAAAATAATTTCTTTGTTAATTATTACTCGAAAAACATACATCCCGATTCTTAAATAATACTTTATTTTCAAAAAAGTTTGATACAGTTTCCACAAAATTTGATCTTCAAAGTGTCGCTTACCCTCTGTGTAGACAGCTGTCTGATTCTTTGGATAGTGGGTGCATTTATGCCAGAATCCGTCTTTGTTCAGCGTTTCACCAGGTTTAATCAATGCACCGCCAGTTCGTTCCGATCCAATGCACGCTTCAACGAATTGACAGTGCAGAAATTTCATTGCCTGTCATCTTGGATAAAAATACAAAAAGCATTACATGAATGATCATTTTTTGCCTCAAGCGATACCAGTATCGGTGGGCGCATCCCTGCTGACTGCCAGTCGAATGAACAAGTTTCCCGTTTAAGAGATTCACAGACTTTCAAAGTGAAGTAAAAACTAACGAGACCACTATTCTAATACATGAAACTTCTCAAAAATTGTAAAATATTCCAACAAAAAAGTTGGCAACTTTAAAAACAAACAATTGGAGAAACAAAAAATAATAAAAAATTAAAAACAAGAAACTAGATGACGAGCACAGCATAGTGGAAAGTAAAACTGCGGAGGGTTCGACTTCGTCAGCGTGGCAACCAGTCTGTTTACGATTCGTCCACTCGCTTAGGATAGTAGACTGGCACAGTATTTGTGAGCGAATCAAACCCGTACTTTGCTTCTCGGAAGAAGGACGTTAAACTTGCATGTAGTAACAATCATACCAGTAATAATTTCGATGCCGTTATCACATTTGTATTTAAATTTATGATTTGGCCTCTCATACTCATCACCATTTCTTCTTACTTTGCCCATGATGTCGGTGCAATCATATACAGTTTTGCCACTTGCATCCATCCTTGCATTCATGGTCTGCGGGACAATATCCCCTCAAACTTTGCTTATTTAGAAAATAAGTAACGGCGCTCAACAGGGAAAGCTGATGCAACCATGCGTTTTGTGTGATCTTGTCCAGCAAACGCTTGTACAGGTCTGTCCGACAGGCACTTCTGCAGCCCTATCTAGTTGATACTTGTGCGACTCTGTTCAGGGGAATCTTGCTGTCAAAAATGTCCACTGCCCTACTGTTTGTACGTCACATGTTAATTTTGGCGTCGAAATTTACTGTTTGTTTTTTTGCAAGCCATTAACTGTGGCGTCGGAAATTTCATGTTGCTGAATGTGAGAACTAAACTTACGCGGGGATTAATTTGTACGCGGCAGGGAACATTATTCCGAAATTTCAACCTCCTAGCTTTTCTGATTTCTGAGTTAACAGTTTTCGCTCCGAAACTTTTATGTATTCATGCGCGAAACTTAGCATATGCTGAGGCTGAATTTGGTTTTATGGGTCGCATGCGGGCGGAGAACATTCGTCTAAAATTTCAGATTCTTAGCTTTTCTAATTCCCGAGTTATTTTCGGCCAAAATTTTCACATCATCGTAATGGAGCCCAGCGCGCATGGAAGCTGAGTTTGAGCTCGCGAGCTCACACGCGGATAGGGGTCGCGTTCTGAAATTTCAGCTTCTGGCTTTTCTGGTTCCCGGTTTGAAACCCCAGATAAAATGCACTCGGAACGCACACAGACATACATCCACACAGGGTCTCGACAAAAGCGCTTTGCGCGACTGCAGCAGCATAAAATGCGTAAAAACTTCGTGGAATGATGCTCCCTGCATCCTGCAACGATTCGCAGACTCTTGTACGAAGGCAACCTTGCAAGATTATGCAGGAAATTCAAAGAACAAATTTCATCTCAAATGTTGACAACTGAAAATTAAAAAAATCGACAGTTTTGTCATTAATAGGTTGTGCCAGTAAATTTTGAAAATTACTTGGTTAAGTTATTCTTTTGCTTTTTCAAGGTGCATTTGCTATACCGTC